GGGGGACTTACAAGGCAAGGGAGCTGAGGCAGAGGCCATGGAGGGGGCTGCTTCCTGGCTTGCTCCCCATGGTTTGCTCACCTGCTTTCTTAGAACCCAGTACCAGCAGCCCAGGGATGGCACAACCCATAGTAGACTGTCCTTCCATCAATCATTAAGAAAATGCTCTACAGGCCTGCCTATAGCTGGATCTTATGGAGAAAGTCTCTCTCTCTCTCTCTCTCTCTCTCTCTCTCTCTCTCTCTCTCTCTTTCTCTCTCTCTCTCTGACTGCTTTTCAAGACAGGGTTCCTTTGTGTAGCCTGGGATATCCTTCAATTTTCTCTATAGATCAGTCTGCCTGCGCTTCCTGGGTGCTGGGTTAGGACGTGTGCCACCACCACCCAGCCTGGAGGCATTTTCTCATTCGAGGTTCCCTCTTTTTAGATGACTTTAGCCTGTGGCGAGTTGACATAAACTAGCCAGTACAGCAGGTAAAGGTAGCCACCTCGGATGATGACCCGAGTTTCATCCCCAGAACCCACACGGTGGGAGGAGAGTGCTGCCTTATGCAACCTGTCCTCTGGTACTTGCATACACACACACCCAAAATAAATAACCCCAGTCCCTAATAAGAGCCCACAGGGCAGGGCCTGGTGAGCTTCACAACCTTCTTGTTCTGCTTTCCTCCCCCCCTTTCTGTCTTTCCCTTAGCTCTGGCTGCACCGATTTCCTGGCTGTTCCTCAAGGCAGGAGGCTTCTTCCATCCCTGTGCCTGGTTGGTTTTTCCTTCCTAGCAGGTTGCATGCAGCATTTGCCTTAAGTTGCCCACTTTTAACTATTCAGCGTAGAAGACAGCGCCAGCATTTGTTGAATGAATATATGTTACACAGCAGATGTAGTTGGGGAAAAGACAGAAAATGAATGAGAAAAACTCTGCTGCAGGGTGGCACCGTGGCTTGACTTAGGGAGTTGGTAAGCAAATGTTGCCAAGAGCAATTTTGTCAGTTCTGAATCGAGTAAGGACTAAATCGAGCCACAGAGCTCAGGCACTGGGGAAACCTTTTTAGCTAATCTGTGAAGCAGGTCCATATAGAAGACTCAGTGGGGGCTGGGGGTTGGGGTGCTTAGCTTTGTGGCTTTCCATTTGGCTCAACTAACAGAGCCTTAGGTTCAACCAATAGGGAGTCACAGCAGGCTTTAGAGGGAAGGAGGACAATGAGGGGCTCAGTCCAGAGATCCTTTCATGACCTGGTGACCCTGAAGGCCCAGGGTCCTTGTGATGGACCATCATGTGATGCCACCTGTCACTAGCCTTCCTTAATCTCCACCTCCAGCCCCGCCTCTGCCTGTGCTCATCGTAAATGCGCTGTCACCCACAACTCTGTCCTTCTCCATCAACCAAATGACCCATCCACCCACTCCAATGTTGTCTACTTTCTCCCCAGTCAGGTGACTCAGACTCTCACATGTGTCCTGCTGCCTCCCTGAACGACCCACGGCCCTTGTGGCCTGAAGGTGACTGACTTAAGAGTTTCCCTCAACAAAAGAATTCCTTCAGACAGTTCTTACTGAAATACCCTACCTGTAGCCAGTCCTTGTGACTCTATGGAGTTAATAATCACTGACAGCTGGCTCCAGGGACACTTCATGAATTCTAACCTGGGTGGGATTGCATGTCATACTTTTATCCTTGCAATCACAATCTTTTCTCATTAGTGAGTGAGAAAGTCTTATATCTTCCTTCCCAGTCTTCACGTCACAAACTAATTGAAAACGGAAAGGACCATGAACAAGGTGAGGCCGTACTTTTTGTGGAAATACCTCTTGCTTTCGGAAACTGAACTTTTATGTAGCCTTGGAATTGAGTTAGTAATATGGCTTGGGACACATCACTTAAAACTGTGTATTCATTTGTACTGTGTACAAATTTAAACTGTTCTGTTTAAAGAAAACAGTGTAAGCATTCTTACTCTGCTTTGTGCTCCTCACGTAAAGCTATGTTATGAGCTAAATTAAATGTATAACTTTAATCTTAAAAAGAAAAGGCTTTCCCTCAGCACTTGAGACCCATAATTCTCTGTTGCTGGGGTGCACTGTGTGGTAGGACATAGAACATAATTCTCTGTTGCTGGGGTGCACCGTGTGGTAGGACATTGAACAGCATCTCTGGTCTCCACTGACAACATGCCAATGGTACCTTTTACCCCAGTGTGATGACCAAAAGTATCAGGAGATACTGCTCCATGTCTGCTAGGCTAGCTCAGATCAGTCCTCAGACTCAAAGAGCCAGTGTTTGCTCCGTGCCAGACGTAGGGCCCGATGCCCTGCAAGCACCACTCAGTTTCACGGTCTATTTCATCTGTAGAAGGACGGGCGGCTCAGAGCAGTTGTGTGACCATCCCAAAGCCACACAGGCAGGAAGCCCACCGCCAGTGCCTTTAAACCCAGACAGTTTGGCTCATTTCTCTTTCCGGGTACTCATCTCTGTCTCCTCCAATCCTGCATCCAGCCTGTGACCACAGCTAAGGGTTTTAGGTCTCAGCCCCAGCGACCCCACTGGCCCGTAGTCAGGGCTCTACTAGCCACCTTCAGTCACTGGAAATATCCTTCTCAAGTTCTCTGCCTTTGGGAATTTGTGTACCTTCCATGTCCTCGATAAGGTCTTCTTCACTGGCATGGTCAGCGAAGCTAACTCTACACAGCTAAAAAGATAAGCAAGTTCTCAGACGTTTTAAAACTAGGCAAGCAGTATGGGGGCTCTTCTGCTCAGACACTGTCCTCGACTCCCCATTGCCCACCAGATCAACCCATATCCACTGACCCTGACCTTCAAAGCCCTGCCGTCAGCTCCTGGGCCCTTTCTGCCTCATCTCTCACACTCCAGTCCAGGAGCTACCTGCCAGGTCCTGGCTACACCTTCGATTTCTCTGTGCCTGAGCCCCACCCCCCCTCTGTCGAACCTGTTGAAATCCAACCTCTCCCCACAGGCTTAGCTCGAATGTCACCTACTTCGGGTCACCTGGTCTGCCCTCCCTTCTGTGACTTCCAAGCAGGAAAGCTTCCATTATTTCTAACTGTTGTTCTTTGCTTCAAATCTCCACCTTCTCGGGGCAGAGGGAGAGGGTTAGTAGAGACAGAAAGAAATCTTTGAAGTGCAAGCCGAGTGGGCCCTCTTCACTTGGGTCTCCTCTGTCTGCCAAGTGACCCAAGTCAGCTGCCTGCCCACCCAGCAGCGTGGCCAGCCCAGCCCAGCCCAGCCATAGGTCTGTCTCACACCCAAGGGCCGGGCTGGCTGGAACACCTCTGGAGCACATGGGCTGCCCAAAGACAATATCCTGGTGTAAGGTCAGGGTGCCTGTGAGTGGATGGGCTGGGTGGAGGTGGGAATGGAATAGTCTAATGCTTCTGGAGCCCTTCCCCTCATCTTTTTCCTCATTCATTCATCTAAAATGTTATGCTTTTTAGATTTAGTGTTTATTTTATTTCGTATACATGAGTGGTTTTGCTTGCGGGTATGCTTGCACGTCATGTGCGTGCCTGGTGCTCTCAGGGTCAGAAGATGGTGTTGGATCCCTTGGAACTGGAATTACAGATGGTTGTGAGCTGTCATGGGGGTTCTGGGACTTGAGTCCTCTGCAAGAGCAACAAGTGCTCTTAACCTCCGAGTCATCCCTACGTTTCTCTATTTATTTATGCTGTGCGTGGGTCACAGTGAGCTGCAGAGGTTAGAGGGCAGCTTGCGGGAATTGGGTCTCTCCTTCCATCACAAGAGTCCTGGAGGTTAGAGGGCAGCTTGCGGGAATTGGGTCTCTCCTTCCATCACAAGAGTCCTGGAGGTTAGAGGGCAGCTTGCGGGAATTGGGTCTCTCCTTCCATCACAAGAGTCCTGGGGGCTGAACTCGAGGAGCCATGCTTGGTGGCAACTGCCTGCAACCTGATGAGCCCTTTACTTTTTTTTTTTAAAGAAATTATTATTCTTAACCGGGCGTTGGTGGCGCACGCCTTTAATCCCAGCACTCGGGAGGCAGAGGCAGGTGGATCTCTGTGAGTTCGAGGCCAGGCTGGACCGACAGCCTCCAAAACAGAGAAACCCTGTCTCATAAAACCAAAAAGAAAAAAGAAAAAAAAGAAATTATTATTCTTAAAGTTTTTTTGTTAAATCACTGTCAGTTTTATGTGAGTATGTGCATCTGTGTGAGGGCATATACACTTGCATGTAGGGCCTCTGGAATTGGAATTTAGGAGGTTGTGAACAGCAAATTCTTTAAAGCTCTGAGCCATCTTTCCAGAGGTTTTTATATATATTGCAACATTAATAACTAACTAAATAAATATCACACACACACACACACACACACACACACACACACACACACACACACACACACAGACACTCTTCGACAAGGTTTCTTTCCTTAAGTAACCCAGGCTGCCTGGAGTTTTGTGATTCTCTTGCTACCAAGTGCCAGGACCACAGAGATAGGGGAGGGGTTGGGAGGGCTGGAGGAACAGCTGTAGAATCTTACCCAGGAGAGCAGATAGGGCCGGGTCCTGGAAAAGCAGTTAGCCCCCACCTCAGCCTGATGGAGCCTGAGAACTCTGGAGAGCCCGCAAAGAGTGCCCCTGTGGGACAGTGAGGGTCTCAGAGGAGATGGTTTAGGGACTCCTGTGCAAGCCTGAGGGCCAGTTCTGCCTTGGGGCTCTGAGGGGTTGATGTGGGAGGTGGGTAACCCTGAGTGGAAATGAAGCTCTAATAGGAGTCAGGACCAAGGAGTCTGCAGGTTCGTCAACTGTCTGAGTCTTCACGTCTCCGTCTCTGTCTGTTAAGATCTTGCTTTTGGCACCCGTCCCTGCCTCCGGGTCTTGTGTCTAGTTAGTGCTCTGGATCTTGGGGGCCAGGCTAGTGAGCGACAGGGCAGGGGCGTCGCCGTATGGGCGTGGCCCTGCCGCTGAGAGGAAGGGCTCAGAGCTCAGCCCCGCGTGTTTAAAGGGCTGGGGCTGTCAGACTGCACTGTCAGAGCCGAGGGTGACAGCACCTGCAGATCTGGATCTGGATCGAGAGCGGCAGGACCCGGGTGAGTGAGCCAGTCCAGCGGCTGTGGCCAGACCGGGGCGGGGCGGGGCGGGGCGTGCATCTGTGGGCGCAGCCAGTTCCAGGACCCCACGAGCAGCGGGTGAGGTTAAATGACCAGGACGCTTGGTGGGTCGAGATGCCACTGTGTCCCTGGCGGTTGCTTGGGTTATGCCCTTTTAAATTTTCTGAGTCCTCCCGGTGTCCCGGAGTCCCATATTTTTGAGTGCAGGTGGTAAAGAGAGAGGGGGAGCTTCCTGGGCCAAAGACTTCGGCTCTGGAACACCTCATTAGGTGCTGCCCGAGTCGCTGACATACTGTCTTGAAGAGGAGGCCTGAGCTGGCATGAAGTTCAGTGGTACACACTTTTTCAGCATACTTGAAGCTGTTCGTCCTGCGAATGAAACCCACCTGCTTGTAGATGCTGTGTCAGTCCACGGAAGTGTCAGCACCTCCAAGTCCCCTTCATTTCAAATAAAATGGTGGCCTGGTCCCTCTACTTTTGGCTATGAGCTCTGGAAGTCAGTCAAAGGTGGTATTTATTCCGTAAGTGCTGACTGGTGTCTCCAGGGCCTGGCCCACACCCTCTTAGAACCACTGATGGCCTGGCCAGCCTGGGCCTCGCTGTGGCTCTGGCTCACTGCCTGGGGGATCTCTGGCTTGAGGCGAGAGATGGGGAGGAAGAGGCTGCCTTTGGCCTCTGCACAGGCAAGTGTGTATGGGGGTCCTGACTCACAGTCCCTTTCTTCTTGGTCCATCTACCTTCAAAGTTCATCATGCGCCCCACAGCGAAGCCCTCTCTTCATGTTTCCCTCCCCTCTCCAGCAAGAGCGTGTAACAGCTAATGTCTTGAGGATGAAACTCCTGAGATCCCTGTCCAGACTCTGATGTGATTGATGGGGGCGGGGGATGACTGAGGGCTGAAGAAGAAAGGGAACATATACCTGTAGACACTCAGTGGGCAAGCTGGGATTGGAACAAACAAACCCTGTCTGACCTCAAAATCCTGGACCACTTTCTGATGGCCTCGGCATCTCTGTAGAGGCCAGCTTAGGTTTCTGAGTGGTAACATTAGCTGTGGGCTCCTGTCTGGGCAGTGACCAGAGTTGGGAACCACAGAGAGGCTCGGATGACCTGGGAGATATCGAGAGAGTGAGACCTCATCTCTCCTCCGTGACTAACCAGCCTTATGCTTTGTTCTGTAAATCCCAGATATCCCAGTAGCAGGAATGAATATGTTTACAGTAACAAGTGGTACCATGCCTGATAGGGAGTGACCACTTTGAATATTCTGTGTTTTTTTGTTTTCTTTTAATTTTTATTTGCGTGTGTGTGCATGTATGCACATGTGTGTGTGTGTGTGTGTGTGTGTAGTGTGGAAGTCATAGAACAACTTTCAGGAGTCTGTTCTCTCCTTCAAGTATGTGGGTGTCAGGGCCTGAACCCAGGTTGTTAGGCTTGGTAACATGTACTTTAACTCACTGAGCTATCTTCATGACTCATAAATATTTTATGTGTCATCATAGCTCTGTGAGGTGGAGAAATATGGTACCTGTCTGAAGCAACCGAGGCTCAGAGAGGCACGGACACCCACCTCAAGTCACACAGCTACAAGGGAGAGAGCACTATAGAATCCCTCCTTTGCTTCGTGTCCAGTTGTGGCTATGTTTGCAATGGTATGCTGAGATCATAACATCCCAGGTTGTCAGTGACCTTAAAACTTCTTTTAGTCTGGGTTAGGGTTAGGGCAATGATGGCGTATGCTGTTAATCCCAGCACTCGGGAAGCAAAGGTAGGAAGGATATCTGTAAGTTCAAGGCTAGCCTGGTGTACAGAGTGAGTCCCAGAACAGCTAGGGCTACACTGCATAATAAGCAAACAAATAAACAAATAAATAACCTCTTTTAAATAAAAAATAAACAGCCTCTTTTAAAGGCAGGGTCTATTTGGGGACAAGGCATCTACATGTTTCAAATTTGCCTTCTACTCTTCTCTACTTGCTTTGACAACTCTGTTCTGTCCTCGTTTCTTATAATTGATCCCGAGCTTTCCCTCCGTTTCCAGAAATTTGGGGTGTTCAGTGTGGAGAAACAGACCCAAAAGATTGTTTTCAATTCAGACGCCCTTTGGAGACAGAGAGGAGTCTGTAGCGTGAGGCAGGTGCTTTGTGCCAGGCAGGAAGCAGATTGACTTGACTATTGGCTGGGAGAGAGAGGCTGGTTTGTGGGGTGATATATCAGCTTTGGGGTGTTCCTATATCAAGGCCTGGCCAATGCTCGACATTCAGGAAAGGCATGTATGCAGTACCTGGCCAGGGTCCATATTCTGAGTTCTTTCTTGACAGCCCACACACCTTGTATAACAAGTCCCTGGCTGGAGGCTTGCTGGCAGAACCTGACAAACCAGAGCTCCCTGGGTGTGGGTGGGGCTAGGCTAGCCTGCAGGACTGGTCCATAGTGCCACCTATGCCAGATAAGACTGCTCCGGCAGAGTGGGAGGAATGCTGTGATCAGGCAGGCTGGGGATCATGCTATGCTGATATTGGGACAACTCTAGAGGCTGGTTTAAGTAAGAAATGGCCCTACCTGCCTCTCACATCCTCCTTAGGGTGCAGGTTTTTATTTTGATGGGAGAGTGTCTCTTATAGCCCAGTCTGGCCTCAAACTGACTTTGCAGCTGAAGATGACCTTCAACTTCTGATCCACTTGCCTCTATCTCCCAGGAGCAGGGATGACAGGCATGTGTCACCCAGCACCAAATTCTTAAATTTTGTGTATGTGTGAGTGTCGGCAAGCACCTTTACACACTGAACCTGAGCCCTCTTGCTGGTTCCATATTGCTTTAAAACAGACCAAAACAAAAGTCTTACTGTATAGCTCAGGCTGGCCTCCAACTCTCAATCATTCTGTACCCGCCTTGATCTCCCAAATGCTGGGATTGCAGCCTGCATCACCACACCTGGCTACTGTATTATCTGTCTTTCTGTCTTCCTTCCTTCCTCCCTCCCTCTCTCCTTCCCTCCCTCCAATCTTCCTTCCCTCCTCCCCTCTTTCATAGTTGTGTGTGCAAATGTGTGCATGCGTGATTTGTGCACATGAGTGCATGTACCTGTGGAGGCCACAAGGGGCACCAGCTGCCCTGAAGCTGGAGTCCTAGGCACTTGTGAGATATCTGATGTGGGTGCTGGGAACTGAACTCTGGTCCTGTGGAAGAGCAGAATGTTCCTTTAGTCTGCCTTCCAGTTGTTGAACTGAGGCCATCAGGCTTGTGTAGCAAGTAATTTTACCCACTGAGCCACCTTTTTGGCCCCATATACATGTATTTTTTTTTATTGCGACTTAGCTATTCAGTGTAAAATTGACTTTTTTTGATGTTAGGGACCGAGTCCATGGTCTTGCACACATTGTCATGCCCTTGCACATGCTGTGCATACACTACCGCTTAGCTGCTCCCTTGAAATACACCTTGTTACAGTGCGCAGTTTACTGACTGGATTCTAGCACCTTCAAAATGGTGGGGACCTGCCACCTCTTCAGGGCTCCAAAGGGGGCCTCATGCCTATTAGCTGTCACTCTCTATCTGCTGTCCATCTTTGTGGATTTTTCTGTTTAGGACATTTCTTATCTCTAGGGGCACGCATGATGTGGATGGCCTTCATGTGTGTCTTCTTTCATTCAGAATCATGTTTCCAGGTCCATTTGTGTCCTAGCATTTTAACAGCCTCATTATTTGTCATGTCTGACTGGAAATCTGTTGTGTGAATATGCCGTATTTTGTCTGTCTTTTCATCTCTGGTGGGCACTTGGAGTTCTCTTTTTGACAGTTGTGAATCACGCTGTTATGGAAATTCTTTGAATACTTGCTTTACAGTCTTTTGGGTATACAACTAAAAATGGAATTACTTGGTCATGTGATAACTTTATGAGAAAGATCAAATTGGTTTCATGTGGTGGCTGCACCTCAAACTTTTTATTTTTTGAGACAGGGTCTCACTATTTTAGCTCAGGTTGACCTGGAACTCACTGTGTAATTCTCTTTGGCTTCAGACTCACAGAGAATGGCCCTTCAGGTTCTGGGATCAAAGGCCCATGTGAAGTTCCAAAGACAGCTTGCAGGAATTGGTTTTCTTCTCCCACCATGTGGGTAACAGGGATTGAACTCAGGTTGTCAGGTTAGGCAGCTGTGCGCCATCTTGTTGGTCCTGTGTGTGCGTGCGTGCGTGCGTGCGTGCGTGCGTGCGTGTGTGTGTGTGTGTGTGTGTGTGTGTGTGTGTGTGTGTGTGTGTGGCGTCAGGAGGTACTCAGATGTGGAAAGAGTAAGGTTTCCCCAATGTAGACTGGGAATGTGACTCAGTAGCAGCGTGCTTGTCTAACATATGTGAGGCTCTTAGCCTCAAACAAACAAACTAAAAACTAAAAATTTCCCAATGTACTATTTTTTTAGCATGTGTGTGTGCACACACATGACTACATTGTAGGTGTGCATGTGAAGCCCAGAGGAGGAGCTCACTCCCCAATTTATTCTCTTGAGACAAGGTCTCTCACTGAGCGTGGACCCCATGGTGTTGAGCAGACCACCAGTAAGCTTCAGTTACCCTCCTGTCTCCACCTACGACAGCACTGGGGTCCTAGGGTTATGCAGTCACCCCAGCTTTTTGTGTGGGTGCTACAAATCTTAACCCAGTTCCTCATGCTTGCATAGCAAGTGCTCTTATTCACTGAGCTATTTCCCCAGCCCTGATTAATTTTCTTTTCTTTTTGCTTGTTTTGGAAACAGGCTCTGGAGCTGTAGCCCAGGCTGGCTTGGGACTCATGTTTATCCTGGAGTTATAGACATGCTCCATCGTTCTTTTTTCTTTTCTTTTCTTTTCTTTTTTTTTTTTGGTTTTTTTTCGAGACAGGGTTTCTCTGTGGCTTTGGAGGCTGTCCTGGAACTCACTCTGTAGATCAGGCTGGCCTCAAACTCACAGAGATCCGCCTGCCTCTGCCTCCCGAGTGCTGGGAT